TGGATGGATGGAGGGATGATGATGGATGGATGGAGGGATGATGGGAGGATAGATGGAGGGATGATGGATGGATGGATTATGGGTGAAAAGAAGGAAGGAAAGATTGATGAAAGAAGAAGTGAAAAAAGTGAAAGACAAAATGAAGAAGGGATGAAGTGAACCAGGTGAAGGAGGTAGGGAAAAGGCGTGGGGTCAGAGGTCGTCATGGAGAGGACGTACCTGTGAGGGCCAGGCCCAGCAGCAGCGCCCCCAGCAGGCTGACGCTGGGAATCAGGATGTAGAGCAGCAGCCGCAGGTGATTGGTGGAGCCCAGCTCCTTAGGACACGCCTCCTGCTCCATCCTGGCCTCAGGTCCTCCAGGACGATTCTGGGGGACCAGAAGAACCCCGATTAGGGGGCTGTCAGGACATGTTCACCCCCCATCACACCCTGTCTATTTATACAGCCTGGGGGGAGGAGGGGGGGAGAGTTTCCGTTGGACTCGCTGAAGTTATTTTTGTAGCGATATGACAAGAAGACACACAACACCCCCCCACCACCCCCCTGTGATTTATGGGGCGGGGGCCGCCTGATAACAGCTCTACTGTCACACTGATTCCCTCCAGCTGCATTTGGGTCCAGTTAGTTCTGAAGATACCGGTCCGGTCCACTTCAGCCTCTGGTTGGTCTTTAAGGGGAACCAGTCAGATCTGCTGGTCTGATACCGAGGAGTCCAGCTTTATACTGGTTCTGGAACCCAGCTTCAGAACCAGGCTGGTTGTGGTTCTACAGCCGTCGGAGGAGCTGATGGTTCTGATGGACCCGGTTCAGCTGAACACCTGCAGGCAGGGTGTCTGATTATCACCTGTTAGAGAGCAGGAGCTGCTGAGGTAAGGTGGTTCTGAGGAAAGTTCTGTAGAACCGAGGGGGAATCTGTCAGTTTATCAAACCCAGAGGGAAACAAAAACAAACCCAGAGAGTTTAACTCTGATCCTGGAGGACAGATGGTTCCGATTTAGGGGAATGAACCCGTTTATCACAGAACCACAGAACCGCTGGAACCAATCGGATCAACCCATGAATGTCTGATCCACATCTGATCACCAGGAAAGTATTATGGGCTGGAAACGCTTCCCTCTGGAAAACCAGAACCAGGATGAAACAGAACCTGGAACCCAGCGTAGAACCAGGCATAGAACCCAGCATAGAACCAGGCATAGAACCCAGCATAGAACCAGGCATAGAACCCAGCATAGAACCAGGCATAGAACCCAGCATAGAACCAGGCATAGAACC